CCTTTTCATAATGTGTTCATTTTTTTGATTGTATCCTTTGGTATATATGGTTGTGACAATTTTCTTCCACTATTTGATCTGAGGAAGTGGGTCTGGCCCACGAAAGCTCATCACCTAATAAACCATCTTGTTAGTCTTTAAAGTGCTACATAGTCCTGTTTTTTGTTTCAGCTACACCAGACTAATACGGCTACATTTCTATCACTTATACATTCTTCAGTGATGATTCTACACAGGATCTCATGGACTTGAATGCAGCCTGTTCTCCTCAAAGCTTTGCATGCATGGCCTCTCAGTATGTGTCCTATCACACTACAAAAGGCTTTTCCTACAACAAAGGATAGTGTGAATTCTCCCCAGTTGCTACAATCAGTAAAATCACCCTTTTTGGTATTCTGACAATGATTCCATGTTTCAATTTGTCACAAAGAATTTCTTGTTCCAACAGTACATTGCTCAGTTCTGTCAGTTTTTGTTAAGGTGATGGTATCAAATGCTTTTAGAATTTCTGCTGTGATTTGATTCTCTCTCCCCGTTGTTATTTTTCAGCTTCTTGATTGTGATGTTTACTCCTGACACCTTTATTATATTAAAGTTAATATAAGGATGCTCAGGTTTGCATTCATTGAAGTCTGGTGCTAAAATGGGACTGAGCTATTAAGGATTTCTTTGAAATGCTCTGCCCATTTACCTTTCTGGTCTGTCTCAGTTGTAAGCATTTTTCATCCTTCCTTTTTATTTTACCCATTTCATATTCTGAGGTCTCCATACAGAGCTGTAGTCACTTGGTACATGTCTCTGTGATTTCCTATCCTAGCATCAGCTTCAGATTCAACTGTTATGTACTGAACATTTCGTCATTTATCTTTTCATGCATCATTTTTATTGCTTTGCCTTGTACTCCTTCTTTGCTTTTTCTAGTACTTCATTGGACTTACCATTCAGGAATTCTCTTTTCAGTACTTTTTCGTTCCTGAGTGAGATGCCCTGTCTCTTGGTTTATTCAGTTCTTACTCTGTTGCTATCCAACAGTGACTGCTGCAGTTTGAATCACATTGTCCCTAGCACTGTCCTTTCTTTCAGATCGAGTGTATGTTGTTTGCCAGTGTCTCTGTTAAGTTCCTTAGTTCAAGTTGGAGTTTCTTGCAGCTCTGATTTGTTTTTCAGTTTTGTATTGTTGGGTTTTTTGGCCACTTTGTTTATGTTGAACTTTCTCAATTTTAATTTCAGTTGAGCAATACAAAGATTACAGTCATTGCTGACATCTGCTGTTTCATATGCCCATATGTCTTGGACAGAAGACCTGAATTTTGAGCTAATGCAGATGTGGTTGATCTGGTTATGTTTTTTTTTCCTTTTGTTTTATTGTCTGGCAAATTCCATATTTCTTTGTATATGTGTTTTGAGGGAATAGAGTGCTTTCAAAAAGTATGTGAGACACCAAGCACAATTCAATGATCTCTCACAATTTGGATTGATGATTCCACACACTTGCTTCCCTATTGATCTTTCCATTCCTTGACTGTTACATCCTATTTCATTTAGCATGAAAATTGCCATCATAAGGAGTATGTCATGTTTTGTCATTCTGTCATCTTGATCTTTGTTGCTATGTTCCTCTGTGAAAGTATAGCATAGTATGATTACTGTCTCTAGGAATCTGATTTGGAGTTAGATGCATGTGATGCATTGGTTTATAGTTTCACAGTTGATAAGTGATTTTTCTCTAGAATCTTTCATAAGGACTACTGCCCTCTCTGAATGTTTGTTGTCTCTACAGCATAAATAAATGACTTGCTTCTTGTGTTGCCAAAAGCCCATCTTATCTATGTCCGTCAGACTGCTCTCACTGATGATGCCCAGAATTTTGCGTCTATAGTTGTCCATCTCTCTCATGATCTGCAAGATATTTGATGTTTGAAACATTGTTCTCATGTCTAGTAGCCAACTTCAATTTTTTTCTGCTAGCGTCACATTTTTCAGGATTCTTGTTTCCAGAAACTATCTTTGACCAGGGAACCTTCATCAGGGTTAGACAGTGTTTCTTTCTGAGCAACCATTTTTACTGCATTGGTAGCCAGGTCCTGGTTCTAAAACCGGTGACTGTTTTACAAGAATAGGTGGATAACCTTGTGCTCAACTCTGCCCATTTTATCCAGGCCTAGGACTAGCAGCCACATCAAAGTATGGCAATTGGTATACTGTACATAGCAAATTTAAAATATATGGAAAATAAAGAGTAATTACCAGTCTTCATCTTTAAAGATGATCTCTGAAAGCCTTGAATAATCTTTTGATAATCAAACTTAACAGAAATTTTTTTTAAACCAAAGATAGCCCCTCTGTGTGGAGGAAACTGAAAAAGATACATTTTATAGCATAACTGTACTAAGCCTAAAACCGTGTCCTAGGTACACTGTCTAAATATGTTGATAATTATAATGTTGGCATTTTTACCATTAGAATATGTGTGTGCAATACACTTCACAGGTTTTTTTTTGCTTATTTAAGAGATTCAGTCTTAGTTAGTATCAATATATTAGCAATGTATGTGATGAAACAAGTATTTTAAGTCTTTACTGTCTTCATAATCCTTAAGAGTCATAATTAAGGGGTTGTTGAAATATCTGTTATTTGTCTAAATGCTTTGTCATCCATGAACCAGGAAATAAGGAAATCTATTAGACATCCAGGATTAAATAGATACTGAAATGAATCCTTAAAAAAAAAAATTGGAAAATTTGCTTGATGGTACATTCAGGCAATTAATGAGTACAGATTATTTTTTACTGACTTTCTCATATCCCAAAATAACAGAATATTTTATTGGGAACTTGAAGCATTATTGTTAGTGAACTGGAACATATGGCTCTCCAAGCAGCACTATCGGGGCAGACTCATGGACTTCAAACATGTCACCTTTGTAGGGTTCTACTTGGTTGGGAAAAAACACACTTGGGATGCCTCCAAAGTTCACATTCTTACTGATGAACTTTTTGCTGTAGGTTCTACTTTTGGAATATTTTAATTAAAAAATAAAAGTGCACTTTGTCCTAGCTTTGTGGCATTCACTGTAGAAATTGTTTTTAGGAATAGAACTGCAAGCAATCTTTAGAAATAGTCTTTTTTTCTTCTTGCAGACATTTTGCCCAAATCTGAAAAAGATTGTGATGATTTGAGAATCACAGCCGAAGTTTCATCTGACTTAGATGCAATTTCCGTAAGTAAATTTATAAATAGGAAAGTCTTACAAAACCTATTTGGGACCATATTCTGCTCTGTTACGTCTCTGAAACAGCAATTTATTGCAATAATGAGAAGTGAATTTGACCCATAGAATTATTTGTATGACTTCAGCTCAGATATTTGGGGAATGTACAGTTATACAAATATACACAAGGAAATGACCTTAGGCTCAGGCATTAAAAGTAAATTGAGAATAAGATAATAATAATAATAATAATAATACTTAGTGCTTTAGATATTCAGAGCACTGTACAGATATTAATCCTCAAAATCCCTCATCTGAGATAGATGGGTAAGTATTGCTCCTCGTTAATAGATGAGAAAACAGAGAGAGGAATATGATCATTGTTGTAGCCAAGTGGGTTCAGCTACTTACTAATATTTAAAAAAACAATTTTGCAAACTACATAAAAATGGCAATATTAATCTATTTGCAACTTTTAACAGTATGTTATTAAAATTGTATTTTGCCCTATGTTATGAAACTAAATAAATCATAATAAGGGTCATTTGATGACCTTCTTGGTGTTTTTACTTTGCACTGTACAAAGACTACCAGTAGTAGTTCAGTACAGTTGCAGAGAAATCACACAAGGGAGTAATTTGACATCTATTTTCTCCTTTCATTTGTGTCATATGACCAGAATTAAACTTCTAAAACTAGTGCAGGGACCATGCTCTTGCTCTTCAAAATGTGATTCTGCTCTCACAAATGACTATAGAATATTTTAAAAAATGCTCTACTCTGATACTCTAAATGTGAGTCCTGTATGAACTCAGTCTAGTTGGTAGCTACCACAGCTTTTTACTACTGCAGTTAGTGCTGCAAGAAGATACAGCTAGGGGAGAGAGATGGATCCTATTCTGGCTTCCACAACATCTACAGATTAACTACAGTTTGTACCTCCCTTAACCAGGACTCCCTGGTCTGGCATGGACTATGGATGTTCCTGGAACCCAGAGCCCAGGAAGAGGGAGGTCTGTTGGCGGGGCAAGAGCACCATAAGGGACACTAGCAACTCAGCTGGGAGAAGTGTGTGTGTGTTTGTGTGTTGGGAGGGAAGCACAGACGGCATGGTGGGGAGTTCTGGCCCCAGAGTCTGGGGAGCTCTAGCTTGGCGATGGCTGTGGACCTCCAGCCCTGGCCACAGAGGTCTGACCCCAGCAGCAGCCAGGAAGCTCTGGCCCCATCCCTGGCTGTGGAGCTCCAGCTGTGTTCTGGCTCTAGTGGCTGGGGAGCTCTGGCCTGGGACGCAGAGCCCTGGCCCGGGCCGCAGAGCCAAGCAGTTGCAGTTGGGCCAGGGAGAGCCCCATAGGGCTGAGGCAGCAGCAGAGGGAAGCCAGAGCCCAAGCTCAGTGGCAGCCTTGCCACGACAAGAGAGAATTTCCCAGGTCCGGTAAAGCTCCTCGTTGGGGACCAGTCAGGTCCCAAGAATGGTGGACCAGCAAAATGCAACCTGTACATTTCAACAGCTAAATTCGTTTGTATTACACTATGATCTTCAGTCAGCTCCATTGTTCACAAATGTAAATGATGGCAGAATGAGAAGACTGTGAGGTCACACAGGGCAGAACTGAATATGCGGAATCTTTATTGCTCATGATGACATATTAGCTAGAGGGAACACAAATTTGAGTCAGTTTTACTTAAAAACCAGGCCTGGGCAAAATACAGTCCACAGGCTGGATCTGGCCCGTGGAGTCAGTGGGGAGCCTTAGGGGAGCTGCATGCCACTCAGAAACATAGCTGTAGGGCGCTTTCTCCTTGAGTCCAGAGGGAAAGGGGGAAGATTCAGATGCTGCTTCTGCCCCTAGCACAATCCCATTGACCAGTTTCTATGCAGAAACTGGCCAAAGGGAGCTGCTTGTTTGACTAACAGGAAGCCAGGAAGCGCAACCCTCCTGCTCAGTTACTCACTCAAGCACATGGTCGAGCAGGCAAAAACATTTTAAGTTCTGCAAGCCTTTAGCTCTGCAGGCAGGAAGGCTGGTTTTGCTGCAGGCTGATAAGTCTCCTGGCCAGAACCTGCCTCTGGCATCCTAGCCCCTCCCTTTTCCAACCTTCTGCCCCCCACTCCTGCCCTGCTATTCCCTTTGCATCCATACCCCTCCGAGATCTGGCACTCAAATCTCCTGCCCAAGATCATAGTCCCCTCCTACTGTAGGTCACATGACAAAACTGCACCCCAGTTCTTTGCCCTAGGTCACAACTGCCTCTTTCACCCAAACTCCTTCTGACTCCATTCTCCCTCCTGCACCTAAATCCCTTACTCCAAGTCCCTTGTGCACCCAACCTCCATCCCAGACCCCGCACCTCTTCCTTTAATATCATGGAAAAGTGCGGCCCTCAACCATTTTCCACAATCTTGGTGTGGCCCTCCATCAAAAATGATTGCCTACTCCTGTTATACTCTAATCCTATTTTATCCAGGGATTGAGTGAAAATAAACACAAAACCCCACAATATCATTTAATATTAATGGCCTACTTTTCACATGTTTGTTTACCTGCAGCTCCCACTGACTTCAGCACTCCTCATCCCTTCCTCCACCTTCAGAATCATCAGGTCATGTGGCACTTTTCAGTGTGAGAGACTAGTTTTACCAGAATACCTACAAGTTGTCATTATTTATAGATGGGAATTTGCTGACTCATAAGAAGCTTTACTCACAAATTAATCAGTAGTCTCCAAAGACAGAAATCAAAATTTCTGGGAAGCAATATTTGGACTGTCTTGTGTGTCATTCCAGCCCTGAATGTGTGACATGGGACCTGGAAAACCATTCATGCTCCAGAGTTATTCTAGTTATTACAAATCTGCCTTTTCAAAACCCAATGCTGGAAGAGGAAGCAGGAATATTTTTCAAGGCATTTAATGTTTCCATGATGCTGCCAGCCAGGACAGGATATCAGAAGTAATTCTGGATGAGATACATGTGTAAATGCATGATTGAGTATAAGTTGGTGCTCTTCTAAAAATTAACAGTATATTGGAGTATTACAGTATGTTGGAAATGTCACTGGGTGACTGGCCACTCACCTGTGCTGGAAGATGTTGTCTCCTTGGGACTGTGGAGTGTTAGTAGGGGCAATAACTTAACACCTCCCTTGCATTGAATGTTAGATATAGCAGGAATATCACCATGCTACTGCGCAACTAATAAGCTACTACTTTACCTGTGCACCAGCATCATAGAATGCAGAATGTGGCCTCTGATGACTGCTGCCTTTATGTTTAATTTATTATATTACTTTTGGATATCTATGGCAAACTGCTATGTTTAGCTGCAGAATAAAATAAGAACGACCATATTGGGCCAGACCAAAGGTCTATACAGCTCAGTATCATGTCTTCCGACAGTGGCCAATGCCAGATGCCCCAGAGGGAGTGAACAGAACAGGTAATCATCAAGTGATCCTTTTCCTATCATCCATTTCCAGCCTCTGACAAATGGAGGTTAGGGACACCATTGCTACCCATCCTGGTAATAGCCATTGATGGATCTAACCTCCATTAATTTATCTAGTTCTTTTTTGAACCCTGTTCAAGTCCTGGTCTTCACAACATCCTCTGGCAAGGAATTCCACAGGTTGACTGTGTGCTGCGTGAAGAAAAATTTCCTTTTTGTTTGTTTTAAACCTGCTACCCATTAATTTCATTTGGTGACCCCTAGTTCTTATGTTGTGGGAACAAGTAAGTAGCATTTCCTTATTCACTTTTTCCACAGCAGTCATGATTTTATAGACCTCTATCATATCCTCTCTTAGGGTACATTTACACTGCATGCTTATTTTGAAATAAGCTATTCCGAAATAGCTTATTTTGAAATAACATGTCTACCCTGCAGGGAATCCTCAAAATTAGTCTTAGGCAGGCTTCCCTAATGTAGATGTGCTATCTCAATTTAGAGCCCCAGGAGGCACTGGGGAGGATTAACTGAGAATGGCCCTGGGGTGGGGTTATTTTGAAATAGCATAAGTGGAATGTCAACACATACCTTATTTCAAAATAGATATTTTGGAATAGGCATTATTCCTTGTAGAATGAGGTTTATAGATTTCAGAATAAGCCGTCCGTTATTTCAAAATTATTTTGAAATAATAGTGCAGTGCAGACACACCTCTAGTCTCCTCCTTTTCTAAGCTGAAAAGTCCAAGTAATTTTAATCTCTCTTCATATGATACCCATTCCAAACCCCTAATCATTTTTGCTGCCCTTTTCGGAATCTTTTCCAATAGACTCATAGACTTTAAGGTCAGAAGGGACCATTATGATCATCTAGTCTGACCCCCTGCACAGTGCAGGCCACAGAATCTCACCCACCCCTCCCAGAATAATCCAATCACCTATATCGCAGATATTGAAGCCTTCAAATACTTTGAAGACCCCAAGATGCAGAGAATCCTCTAGCTATGATCTGTACCCCATGCTACAGAGGAAGGCGAAAAACCTCCAGGGCCTCTGCCAATCTACCCTGGAGGAAAATTCCTTCCCGACCCCAAATATGGCGATCAGCTAAACCCTGAGCATGTGGGCAAGATTCATCAGCCAGACACTCAGGAAGTTCTCTATAGTAACTCCTATCATCCCTCCATTGACCTATTCCCACTGATAATGAATGGACAATTAGTTACCAAGATCATGTTATCTCATCAAACCATCCCGTTCATAAACCCATCTAGTTTAATCTTGAAACCAGATAGATCTTTTGCCAGTATATCTTTTTTTTGAGATGAGGCGACCACATCTGTACGCAATCATAAAGATGTGGGCATACCATGTTTTTATAGAGAGGCAATAAGATGTTCTCTGTCTTATTTTCAATCTCTTTTTTAATGATTCCTAACATTCTGTTTGCTTTTTTGACTGCCTCTGCATGTTTAGTGGATTTTTTTCAGAGAATATTCACAATGATTCCAAGATCTCTCTCTGGAGTAGTTACAGCTAAATTAGTCTCCATCATTTTGTATGTA